TCCCTTATTGCAGCCATTAGGGAAAATATTAGATTATCCTAGGGGCCTACACAGAAAAAACACTAGAATTTCGCATCCCCCCACCAATATGGTCCGTATGCTATAGGACTACAGGTTTTGCAGCTGAGCGTCCCAATGATTGCGCGATCGAGCCATGAGCTCAGCCAAAGCCTTCACAGAAGCCAAGACACCAACCACGAGAACCGGGGATGCGGGCTCCCTTTTGCTCCTTCTACTCCTTTCCATTGAAGGTTTTCGGTTTGAGATTTAGGGCTTCTAGGCTTGAGAGATTCAGAGGCTTCTAGCCGAAGAAGAGCTCAGGGAAGGGGGCCCAAGACATTCCAACACGGTCCTTAAACCTTGAACCCTGAAGCTGCTCCTGTGGATGGACGACATCTTGAATCACGCTGCTAAGTTACCTGAAGCAAGTGCGACTGAAATATAGGGTGTGGTGCACGATTGCTTCCAACATGCGTCGATTATCACCGTTTGACCGTCTAGAAGAGCTTAGTAGAGGCTCAATCACTCTTCAAACCAAGCTCCTAATGTACACCCAGCTTCTTAGGCGGACACTGCGGCATGCAAAGCGAATAAAGAAAACATGTACAAGTCGCGGCCCACAGCAATAAACATCCTGGCCGCTATGTGTAACATGCTGTGAAGGCCTGAATCTATACTCAGAGACATAGTTCACAAAACAGGGTTACAGGCGTGCTACCATTAGGAGTTGAAAGCACCATGCGCCCTCAACTACAAACCCTAGTCCCGATTAACCTTTGGAAGAGAAAGGGACGCTAATGCAGTCATGTCAGGGAACCCCCAAAAGTAAAAATGATTCTATAACACATTTGAACATCCTGAATCCCAAAGTACCCCAGGGTTTAGGGTTAGGGCTTATCCAAAGAGTGAATCCCACCCCTATAGAATATAGTAGTTTTCATTTTCTTGTCCATTATCCCTATATTCCCTATATAGCCCCATTATAGCACCTATATCCCAATATAACCCATCTCTACATAACCCTAATATAACCCTAATATACCCTAATATAACCCCAATATATCCCTGATATAACCCTAAGAGCGAATCCCACCCCATTCTTCTGGCCTCAGTGCCAGTAGCGACCCTCGCATGGCAAGCCATCTTTGGGCCCGCAGCGGGCAGGTCGCAAAAACTTTTCCCAGGGTATAGGGGTTTAGGCATACCTGGACCCCAAAAAGTATGTAAAATAATGGCCTTTATGGCTGTCATTTTGGGTTTAGGGCTATTATGTTACACCTTTGGGGTTTAGGTAATTGTTCTACACATGTTCTAGTTTAGGAGCTCTGGCTACGGGCATCGCAGCTTTTCGCTGGTCAACGTGACGTTAGAGCCATCCCATAGACAATGGAACCAGTTGTGCACATGGGTATAATCTTGTTTCAGGCACAATCTTCGGACTTGAGCTTACTCATACTAGCGGGCCCCTCGTAGTAATGGTGTCATGCGCAAGTGGCGCACCAATCTCAGTCTGCAAATACTCCTCACCAAAGTCCGAAGTTCAGTGACACTCGCGAATTGGACCGATCCTATTGGAACTGTGGAAACTTGAAGCTAAGCAAGCTGCTCAGAAGCTACCGGAAGCTGCACACCGCCCAACTACTAGCTATTGTGACCACAGTACCTACTGTGTAAGGCCCCGCATTACACTAGGGATCATCAAGGGGCCTGGGCTGTTTAACTGATGGTATCACTGTCTTGCTGCATGTCTATTTTCTGTTTGGGCGTGCTTGAACCAAGGCGCAACTTGATAAGCTGCCCTTGAAGCGGCTAGGCGGGACATAACATGAAACACAATCTACCATTGGGGTTATATTAGGGTAATATTAGGGCTATATTGGCGTTATATTAGGGTTCAAATGGCGTTATATTGGGGAAATATTAGGGCTATATTGGGGTTATATTCAGTATCCCAAGTGCCACTAGCGATGCCCCCATAAAAGTCCACAAATGTTCAATCTCTGACGTTGCCATGTGGTCTACATTGACAAATGACCCGTTCGTACAACGTCTTATCCTAACACCTTCAATCTTATTACACCGAGACCACATGAAGGACGATGAAAATCCAGGAAGTTTAACTGCAACCGCTGACAGGCTCACAATCCTGAAGCCTAGTTGAAATGGGTTGACTTAAGCCTGTTCGGCGGTTAGCTACTACTCGGTCACACTGAGCTACCTCTATTCACAATGCCTTAAGGCACCTTGAGATGGGCTTGAATATCGTAAGCGCCAACCCGGAAGGAGTAAATATTCTGCAAGGACAAACTCTTAGCCTGAAATTGTGGGTTCTCAGCTGCAAAATTCAAGCTGCAAATCTACTGGCAATGTTGCACGTAAAGCACATGACATTGTTGGGGGCCGTATGTGGTACCCCTGTACAAGTAGTCACACAAATCATGTACCATAACCTTCAACAGTTGGGTCACTGAGTGGGCCTTCCTTGCAACGTGCTGAAGGAGCTGTGGCTTCACGAAAGGAGGCGAGCAAAGGGATGCTTAGGGATTTAAATGTAAACAGCACTTGGGTTTATAGAGAATTCTTCCGAGAAGAGTACCCTGCCCATGAGACGTTCCCTCTGTAGGCGCGATTTTCTCTGCAGCAAGGTCTGTGGTACCAATTGCACTCAAGCAGACCTGCATTCCTAAGCCGTATTAAAGATTTTCGGATCTGCGAACCAGCAGCCGCCGACTAAATACAGCACGCCGTGGCAAAAGCCCAAGGAAGAATGGCGGCTGCCTGACAAAGGACGTCGTTGAGCGTGCAAGTGCAGTGTGACAGCTTGCAGAAGAAATTTGAAGCTAGCTGACCAATACGTGCCAAAGCCTGAACTCTACGGAGTCTCTCCCCGCAAAGATACATCTACGTAAACATACTTAGCGGAGTTACAAGTAACTTATAAAGGTTAACATAACTTCACATAGTTTAACATAAGTTCTGTTGACTGTGGCTAACTTTTTCTGACCTAAGTAAAGCTATTTTTCCTCTGGTTTTGCCTAATACTTTCTCGAAACTTGCATATGCAGCGAAAATACGAAGCAGTTTCAAGGAAGCGGCATGAACCGCCCAGCGCCAAGCTAAGAGCTGGAAGGAGCTGCGGCGGAGCCGAGCTGAGATAGCTGTCCCGAAGATATAGGAGATCATAAACAAACAAGGAAGACATGAGAAGATTTGAGAAGGTTCCAGAAGATTTCAGTACATTATTCTTGGATGACATATAATAAAAAGTCATGAGAAGACATAAGAAGACATGCATAGGCCTAGAAAGGAATATGAAGAAGACATGAAGCTTTCTGAGCAAAAAACAATCAGAAGACACAAGAAGACATTGGAAGAGAGTGCTCATTCAAATTCAGAAAATATTAGGAAACATTAGAAGATTTATGAAGATTTTTATCTTTGTCTAAAACCCAAAAATACGATGAACAAAATGTGCTTTACGTCAAAAATCCAAATTTGGGGTTGAGGACATAAACAATATGCGGCTGAAAAGCCTGTCGATTTGTGGATCACATCCCAAAAATTATCTGTCATACATTTGTTCCAAAATCTCATCAGAAAAAACTACCCAAAAGCTAAGTAATGCAAAGCATTCCTGAGTTCCGCAAAGTCCAAAACGAACTTAACACAATTGAAGTTGACTTAACATGACTTAACATAAGTGGGTGTAAGTTTGTGTATGTTTCTGTAAAGAGATGTATCTATCGCAAAAGATATATCTACTTAGTGAGACTTACACCTACTTAGCCTATGCGTTTTCCCTAGGGCTTGGCACAATCCTAACTTGGCTAAGTAGGGCTAAGTAGATATATCTTCGGGAGGAGAATCTCCGCCTAAAGCGACAATCAGAAGGAGCGGGCCTTTGATTCCATACTGCCCAGCACGTATTCTTTGCGAAGCACATTGCTCGATAAAGGGAACCTGAATGTTTCAGTGCCCGCGGTAGGTGCAGCCGCTTTTGGAAGTAATCAGCAAGTTCCGTTGACCCGTCGCGATGTCAGGGGCTAGGGAATTGATGTAAAACAAATCGGAGAAAACGTTTGTTTGGCGCGTTCCAACTTTCGTCTGACAAAGCATTCCAAAAATACAATCAAAAACAATGAGAACCAGCAACAACACATAAAACAACAAACAAAACAAGACAATCTTGGATTTGAACTTTCACTTTCATCTAAACGGGCAACCCCTTGATCCCTTCTTGGGTTTGAAAAGGCCCGTGAAAAAGCCCCAACTGAGAGCCCTCTGCTCTGGCTGGAATCTTTCGCCAAAAAAAAAATGATGTGCGCTGAGCACCCGATCTCTGTGGCAAGTGCCGCCGTAGAACAGAATCTTGCTGAAGATGTGCGAAGTCTTTGTGGATCCAGATGTTGGAGAATGCCCATGTCCAACAATGTTCATATGTATGTAGGACATTACTGCGCGAAATTGAAGGACAGTATGTGGGTGGTGCCAGTATCTGAACCGCACGCCTCCTCCACACCCCACAAGTCCAAGAAAAACAGACAAGTCATGGGAGCAGCATGCGTCACATATGGCTCAGCAACACCCCCAAACCCGTGAAATAACAACATGAACCCGAAGCGCTCTACGCTCAGCATGCCAAAGCTCCCTGACACCCTGCACCCCTAAACCTTGTAGTCCATCTGTGGTAGATAAACGCTTCGGAACTCGTAGCTCCGCAATAGCATGCGCATAAGATCAAAACCCTCCAGCCCCAAGCTCAAAACAGAATGATGTAGTCTCTCTTCAAGAGGGCTCCCGCGCCAGCCCTAGGTTGCAAAGATCTTAGTGAAAAAGTGTTCGAGCACCACGGGAAACACCCAATTGCTGACCACCCTACACTGCGCTACAATCTGAAACCTGAACTCTCAACCCCAAAGAATAGTTTCCTTTCAGTTTGTCTGCTCTTCAATCCCGATGGTGCAATGTGAACCTCGAATGGTTTGCTTCCATCTCCGGCCTTACACAACAATTTGGGTCTCCGCGCGGCTGCGCGAGGCCTGTGACAAACGCTTATGTTTCGCGAGGCACTCCTTATTCGTGCTTTATGAGGATGAGGGAAAAGATTGTAGGGACTTGCACAGGGATTCTTGAAGGGGGATGATATAGGGATAGCAGCTACCATAGCGATCCATTCAGCAGGCCCATTCCCACCTTTGCATGAGTAGGACTGCGGAAGGCCAGTGTAATCCATCTTTTCAATTTCAAGTGGCAGTAAAACATGAACTATTTCTTATTGCGCTGCCTTTCCTTCCAAGCGTTGGGGAGCTCCAAGCAGCAGAATACAGTGTTCGCAGATTCTGGACTGCAGGTTTGGGGTTCCGGCGTCTACGCAACAGATTCAGGGCGAGAGGGCTGAGAAGCTTGAAGGTTCAGAGTCGTCAGAGCAACATCATCTGTGGACAGTTTAATATGAATTTTCTATCATGATGCATAATTAATGCAAGCATGCTTGGAAATGATCTGTCTGCTGAATCTTTCCCTGCTTCTTGTCAAATGCTGAAAGACCTGCGTGGAAGCACCACGGAGACTTTGCCATGCAGACATTGAGTATCCGCGTGTTTGCAGAACCAAGAAATGCTACTATGTGAATTCTGCAGCTGCTATTATAAGGTACAGAAAGCGAGTGCTTTGAAACGCCACTGATGGTAGATTTGATTCCTCCCACCTAGCCAGGAAATCAAAGTAAATCAACTTTTGGAGCCTCCCCACTTCACATCTCCAAGACTGAGTCAGATAAACCCTGCACTTGGGATGATGAAGGAAGCCATACTGACTCAAAACATGAAAGCCCTTAGGCCATCAACGCATGCCAGGTTTTTCATGGGGTTCTCAAACTATGGGAGCATAGCTTTGCCAGAAGCAACATGTGTGAACCAACGTTCAAATAGAGAGATCCAACACATGTATCGTCCCCCTTCAGCACATCTTAAGTAACATCAATTATGGGATATATCGGGATCCTAGTATGGTGTTAGGAAATTCATATTCTGTCTCCTTAAAGGGGACTGTAAGCTTTCTCCGTGCATCTTAAGCAATGGGGGCCATGCTACAAAAAATACAGACCAACATCAAGGGACCATAGCTTGACAAGATGTGAACAAGATTCCACGGCCTGCCAACAAATCTGAAACCCCAATGTAACCCTAATATAACGCCAATATAAAGGGAGAAGCTGAAAATTAACCAACCTTATAGTCCCTTATGAGTATCCTATAGTCTGTAGAAAAACTTTGACCAGGCTTTAAGCCTTCATGGGACTACCTGCGGCTCAGTAAAGCATGAGGGAATGGCATCCTTCTATGCAGTGTTCCTAAAGCGCGCTGTATGGAAATTTCACAAAATATGGGGACCCCAACATGGACGCCAAAAGACTATAATCCTTATTATAGGGACCCCCCAAAAGGTACCCCTAATTTTGGGAAGTCCCCGTATAAGCCCCTGTAATTATCCGCGACTGCTTGCAAGTCTACCACTCCCAACCCTGAACCCTAATCCTGGGGATCTGAGCCTGTAAATAATACCCACCTTGGGCCCTAAAGGCTACAAATGGTACCTGCATGGAGCCTGAGGGTAACTAACACCAAGTGACCTATAGTCTAGTCTCCTAGTAACCCCTTAATAACCCGCTTAATAGTCCCCTATATAATCCCTTATACAACCCCTTTTAAGGAGATTACATTCTGGCTCAAGTAGCAGCAAGCTCTTTATAAGGCCAGGGAGTGGGAAGGCGCCAGGCCTTCACGCAGTGCTCGTGGACAAGGTCCCTTGGCAGAGGCACGTGTCAAAAGTGGGGCTTAGGGTTTAGGGGTTGGATATACCAGTCCCTGCAATAACTGTCGGATGCTTTGGGGGGAGCGGGGGAGTGGATCCCCAAAGTAGCCCAAAACCTCTCCTGCCATGGCACCGGCTCCTACATATGATCTGCCACTCTCACTTCAGCACCCGTAACTGGAGCTTTCGGTCTGGATTCTACAGGGGCTAAATGCGCCAATACAAGAGCTTCTTATAATTATTGTGGGCTTATATAAGCCTTCCTGAATAGCCAAGTACTAACTGACGTTCCTGTGTTGTGGGTGCTATAACTGATTTTGCGGAGGTCATTCACACTATAGTAAGACTTGCTACGCAACATGTTTGTGCATTTCATGCATATGCAAAATCAGACTTGTTACGATGTGGCTGTTGAGGGAGCAAATAGTAAGGAGCAACACTTGTTCTGTGCACCCTTTGAACCGTCAAACTCTTCATGATGTTCGATGACGCGGCGTAGATACATGGAAATGTGGGGCCTGCGAGTCTGTGTCTTACAGACCACAAAATGGCCCTCTTGCATACCCGAAGCTGGCCCTGCTGCTCCCAAAGCCCAGCAAACCCAAACCATAACACCTCCCAAACCTGAAGACCCTCAACTGCCTCAGCTGGAGGCCTCATCCCCATAATATCCCTGTCTTGTTTATGTAGCCGCGCAGCACAAGCTGCTCCGTCGACTTCCCCAGGACTTCCTTGCCCTCACACATGTTCAGCAGCACCTGCGGCTGCATCAGAAGTAAATTTTCCGATCGGCGCTTTGTGGGTGCGAGTAGCAATATCCCTGCCATCAGGTGCAAACTGTCTTAAAACAGCCTAGCAAATCCAACATACAGCCATTTGGGGTACAAATTCGTCAGGAGCATTTGTAAGGACATGCTGCTCATGAGATTGGGAACCAAAGACTTCACGCCCGTTGATTTTGTCATAAGAGAGCCATTCCGGCGGCCATGAGGTTGTGGCTTTACTTAAGCTTTGGGTAGCACGTAACCAGAGTACATTGCTACAAGCAATGTAGTTCACCCAACAGTCTCCAACCTCATGAGTCGAAACAACAACCAGCATGTTCTTGTACTCAAAGACAACATGAAAAGCTGGAATACTTATTACTTACTTGTGACCAAGGGGGGAAAATTGCCCTAGACTCTCAACCCTAAACCCTAAAGGCTTTCGATGGAAGAGTGTCAAAGCCACCCCTAGCTCATCTTAAACAAGGACCCGTTTATCGACAGATAATCTCAGGCACCGAGCCTGTGCGAACTTCATGTTGAAGCCGTTCCATCCGCCAGCTGCATGGTGGAAATTCCTTGGGTTTGCGAACGAAAACAAACAAACACTTCCACTCCTCAGGATCCTTGCAACACACGCAATGGTGTACGAAAATGTCAGCTGGCTTATCCCAAAACAAGTCCTCTCTACAAGGGACCGTTACTAATGAAGTTTTTCTTTACGCCTTTCGGACTTTCGATTTTGGCCGCACACTGACCCTCCACGGCAGTATGTGGGTTTGCCCTGGTGAAGGTACTAAATCCCCTCAAAATACTACGACATGGAACCCGTCCCCTTGACGTGGCAGGACATCGAACCGCCTGTGTAAGGGCATCTTTCACCAAGTCAGGCTGTTAACAATAAACACGTTTGCAAAGTGACAGTGGGACCAAGATTGACGCAGGCCTGATTGCAATCATAATGGCCAAATAATACCTACTTCTCGCCTTGAAATCTTGCCGCCTAACAAGAGTATCGTCTTTGGGTTTTCGGAACCTAGGGAAGACTTGAGGATAGGATTCGCCTTCGACAACGGAGTACCGCAGTAGCCAACCACCGCAAATGCACAAGGTTCGGAACTACATCCTAGGATGGGCAACTTCAAATCCTCAGTATCAAAACCTGCATTTACCGCATTCCTCAGATCTGGTTTGTTTTGATCCTCGACCTTCAAAATTTGGATGCATGGTGTATTTCAGCGCCTCATTTTTCTTGTAGTAGCCCAAACCAATTGGCATGGTTTGTGCCTGCCCTGAGGCCCGTAAGTAGAAGATGGACCCAAGAACTTTGGATCCAAGTAATTACGCACATGATTCGGGAGATTCCCTGGTCTTGTCGGCATCGCTTTCATGGGTCTACGACATTTTTCCCTGCGTCATGCCTCGGTTCATTCCTCGGTCCATACTGCCTTGATTCCATGCGCACTATTCTCCTATACTGCAGATCCCCGAATGTTCCAATACTAAGGCCGCTGTACGTCCTCGACGTAAACAATTTCTCACCGACACACGTTCACGCTGCCAAAAAACAGAACCTAACCTACATATAACACCTCACATTTCCATTGCAATTCAATCTACACACCCTGGAGTACCTGGAGGCATTCCCCCCCCCAAACCCTACATGTGTTGTGAACACTTTCTTGCAACCCTTCCCGATTTCTTTATAACTCCCCTTCAAACTTGTCATTGCCTCTCTACATTGCAGTTCCGCAATCCCCGGCGAAAACAAACATAAGTCCCTCCAACCAGTTTGCCACCTCCAACTTCATTGCCACGCATGTCACGCCCTAAGCCCTTAACCCGAAAATAAGAAGCCCTAGACCCTACCCCGAATCATGATTCATTCAAACCCTGCTATGATCTTCTGACGACCCTCAGAAGGGACATGTCTTCGCTTTACATGCCCTGCATGTATATATATATATACAGATTATATAACCATCCAATCCCCCTGAAAAAAGCTGAGCATCGTCTCTTTTGAGGAATAACCCTCAACTCTCCAAAGCGAAGCTATATAAAATCCCTGAAGTAACTCCCTGTACCTAATATCAAATGCACAGCCCCAGCGTCGAAGCCGGGCAGTGCTCGTGCACGGCATGAGCCAGTTCATGATGGCAATCCATATCCTCCAGGCCAGCCGTATAAACGGTTTAGGGTTTAGGTTTTAGGGTCTAGGGGTTTAGGGTTTAGGAGGACCCCCCACCCTGTAATAGTGGTATACTAGGAATATAAGAGGGCCCTAGCACAATCCTTATGTTCCCTTATAGTCACTATAACTGGTTGGGGCGTCCACCTGATATCAACCCTAGATGCCCTAACCCTGAACCCAAAACCTGGCTTCAAGCCTACTATGAATCTTACCCTTAATCCAGGCCGTCTGGCCTCAAAAACTTCCGCATGGTTCGCAAACGAAGAAATTGCCCGTTTGAAACGCAAAACTAACTTTGAGAAGTGCCCCCATGTTGAAAAGTTTCACGTCAGATTTGTACATGGTTTGCATCAATCTTGTCCAGTATCGAAAAACAGGTCATCTCGTGACATTTCTGGCTGTGGATTTTACTGCGACAGTTCAAGAATTCGGGGTTTGGGGTGCTCCTGACATTTGCGCGAAGGGAGTCTAGGGAGATGGGGCTTCCGCAGGGAATAGCGCGAATTGCTCTACTTCTGCAAGTATAAGGCTAACATCCTTCGACGCCCTGCCTACATATTGGAAGTCGGGGCTTGCACATAAATACAAGCAGACCCTTCCGGGATCCACACGCAAGGTTGAAGGCTGTGCTTGCACATGAAAACGTAAACACCTATAATAAATTGGGGTAATATTACGGCTATATTGGGATAATGGAAAATAAAATGGAACCTACTAATGCGTGGCAACACCTTAGAGAACCAATTGGAAGGGCTGGCGACGCTTAAGTTTACAGACATACAGCGCTGGGATTCGTAACTTGGGGCTCCTGAATTTAGGGGTCTAGGGTTTATAGGGTTTATTGGGTTTAAGGCTTTTATGGTTTATAGGGTTTAGGCTTTAGATTTTGAGGACTGGGGTCAAGATTTAGGGTCTGGTTCAGTTTGCCCTAATTTGGGGCAGGCAAACCTTTGAATATCCCTTTGCGGACTGAACGCTTCCGGCCCATCAACTCGCACGAACATGGACATCTATCAAGAAAGGGACATAGTCCCCCTTAAGTAGATAAAATGTAAGAATAAGATCCACATATACCCCATATTCTATCTACTTCAGGGGGACTATATGACTTAGTTAACCCCAATATAACCCCACTATAGCCTTAAAAATCCAATATAAACCGTATAAAACCCCTATATAACCGCAATCTACTTAAGAGGGACTATGCTCGCAGGAATCCTGGCCATATGCTGCTGGAGAACACTGCTAAGATCACTCCTCAAGATTCTTTTGTGAAGCCCTGCAGATTATGATTCAGGTTATTACAAAGGTTATTAGGGATTGTTGCAGGGGCTATGGTAGGGGTTAGTATAAGGGTTATTAGGGCTATTGCAGGGGTTTTTATAAGGGTTATTGGCCCTATAAGCCCCAAACCCTCAACCGTGTGGAATGTTTCCAAAATTTGGTACAGCCAATGGGGCGCCTACCCTCCGCAAATTAACATGTTTAGCAACAAAAGCCTTTTGCCGGAGGGTATATACCCTTAGCCCTACGAAGCCCCAACCCCATTTTTGAATGTCCATCCCTACATACCCTCTATATACATATATATATATATATACATATGGATATCTCCCTTTCTTTCTTTCTTTCTTTGAGGGTGAAAGGGGGTACTACTACCCCCCCCAGAGCCCAGCCCTGCACCCAAACGGTCACTCTCTCTCTCTTTCTCTCCCTCTTTTTGCTCATAGCTGCATCCCCGTCTCTCCCTCCCTCTCTCTATGTCTAACCATCTATATAGCCCGCGCTTCGGCTTCAAGTTTTGGGCCTCAATCTCGGTACGGTCGTTCAAGAACTTCTGCTGACATTCGATCATGTTGCCAGGGTTCACATCCTCAGGCTTGGTTTAGGGCTCAAAGATTTAGACTTTAGAGTTTAGGATTTAGGGTTTCAAGCTTGGAGATCTGCAATGTGAGGCCATGAACTTACGCGCAAGAGGACACCGCGGGGAGGTAGATTTGCAGGGTCAATAATGGTTCATCACGAAGCGATATGCTTGAAAACACTTGTCGTTTGGACTGTTCCTTGTATAGGCCCCTGCACTGGCGATTCCAGACGTATACGGCCCGAACCACCGAGCGCCACAGACTAGAACTAGCACACAACCTTTCGTTGCAGAGGCTGCCGGATGGAAGCTGCAATACCTACGTACCCGGCTAAGTCTTGCACAAATACATGCAGCACTGAACACATGCTGAGCCAACATGTGAAAATAAGTGCCTCCCACAAAACGACAAAATGAATACTTACTATTGACACCGCATCCCTGTGCATGTGCGAGCCATTCGCCCGGCAAACCCCAGACCCCTAATCCTGTGGTCCCATGCCAGGGAAGGCATCACCTTTTCAACAACAACACCAACTAACAAGCCATGTCCAAACAAACGCACTCGAGGTCGTCACCTCTTCCTGGCCAATGCATCCCTTCAAGATTCAAGACAACAACTTTTTGCTGAATTATAAGCCTCAATCCTTCAAACTAAAACTAGACGACCTCCTAGCGTCCAAACCGTCAGCCCCTTGGTATCCCATATCCATTACTTAGGATACCCCTACCTGCAGAAGGGCTTTACGTAAACTCCAGAAATTCCAATATTTCGCCAAAACTGAATCTCTACATGTTGCCCAGCGCGTGCCTGATATGAGGCATAATTGCAAAAATATGTTTGTTGTTTCTTCCCCTTTCCCCCAAAAACTACGCGTAAACCCGACAACTCGTCAGGTTGATCAGTTAAGCTCAAATGGACGATGAACTCCAAAGAAAAACATCAAACGAAGCAAACAGCGCAAACCTCTGCTCACGCTTGGGCCACCAAGTATTTCACACTAATCCCTTGACCCTGCGTGACAGAGGACTTAGCATTGATTTGGCAAATGTATGCAGGAGTTGTTGGGGAATTTGGTGAGCGTATATTATGTGCCCCTATATAACCTCCCGTGTTGTACCCTGTGTAGTTAACGCCTAAACCTTCAACTCTGAAATCTGAACCCTAAACCCAAAAGTCCTCTGCTTCAATTCAAGACTCAGAGCAAGCTGCAGCCGCAAGTCCCACGAAGAGCTCCTCATCAGCCTCACACGGATTCGGGGTTGAGGGCTTTGAGGTTAAAGGCTTAAGGCTGAAAGTTTGTATGGCTTGGTAAGGTTTGGGCTCAAGGTCTACGGTAGTCTTGAGGGCTGAGCGCTGTGGGGTTTGGGGATTAAAGCTCACGTAAGGTTGATCATTGTCTATACAGCCTATGGCATTTTAGAGTGAAGATCCAGGCTCTAGGGCTCAGGATCAGCCCAACATTTTCCAGCCACGCTACCGTGTGCTTCAGGTTGCCCTCGATGCTATACTCCAAGACTTGAGTAGAGCCAGCAATGACTTTGACCTCTTGCGGTCGGTTCAACCCAACATCTTCCAGCCACGCCACGGTGGGTGTCAGGTTGCCTTTATTTAAGGCTCAAGCCCACGACTTGAGGACAGCAAGCAATAACTTTGACCACCTGCTCCCTGCTAAGCCCAGCCATGGTGGGTTTCAGATTGCCCTCGATGCTATACCCCAAACCTTGGGGAAAGTCAGCAACGGCTTTAACCACCTGCGGTCGGCTCAGCCCAACATCTTCCAGCCAGGCCATTGTGGGTTTTAGGTTGCACTCGATGCACCGCAATTCCCCACGGCATCTTCGAGTACAAGACCTCGTGAGCCTGCAGGTGCAAAGACCTCGCTAATGTCGCAACCAACTAGCTAAAAACAAGTGATCCCTCACACGTGAAATTTATACATCATAACTTCATTGTGTGGCGCAAAACTCCTGAGAGAGACTTGCCCCATACAATCTGAAACCTTCAAACCCGCACGTTACGCAGAAAATACGACGATCGATTTCAGAAATGTGACAGCAGTCCGTCATACCAGCGTGCTTTGTTCCAGCTAGCATACAGTCCCAACCTCCGTCATTTCACCCTGCAAGTCATGCTATAAGCCCGAATCTCGAGGTCAACAAAGTCTAAGCGAAGTGCCTGCATGCAGGGAATTGGCGTGTCATCACAAATCACGAACCGTTTTGAAAGGCTAACTGCTCGCCGTGATGTTCACCGCAAATATACACTGGCGTCGTCCTTCCTGTAAGAACCCATTGCTAACCTTGTACTTTGTCGCAACTGTGTTCCCCTTGCTTGTCCCGCCTCGCGGTCTGCCACGACACCCACGAGGCGTTTCCAGGCCTGCTAGGGCTGTGCTGGCGCAAGGGTACTGGTGTTCAGCACAGCGGATGTTGTTGTTACTTGGTACAGTATACGGTAACCAAAGCTATACATGACAGCTTCATTTACCTAAGCGTGGGCCTCTCTCTCGCTTCTATGTCCTCAAGTTTCCTTTCGACGGTTGCTAGGCCAAGGGAATTCGATTTGGGCAGCGATGCCGGGGACCACTTTGGCACAAAGTGTCTTGCCCTCTTCCTGATTATGGCTCTACTTGTGGGCTGCAATGATTCCTGCAGTTGGGCTACGGTCGAGAAATTGAATGCTCCGTTCGAAACCTCCGCGTGAACGGGGCCCCTGCTACACAAATTCACGAACCAAAAGCTCCACCCCTATATCCAGTGATTAAACACCAACCACTTCTGCAGGCAGACCCTCGGGCGCACACGAACCCAATGGGGTTGACCCACAATCCGACCTCTGCCCCAAAGCCCTCGAAAACGAAGTACCGTCAAAGTGTGCCAAGATCATGTTCCGTTTCCCTTTATGCAAAGCGGGCAGTAACCCAAAGCACGCCATGTTGACAGGAGCACCACGTCCTCTTTTCTTTTTGTAGTATCGACGAAGCATGGTAACAAACATACTCTTTTCATCAAAGTTATGCCCGCGGAACCGGAGTTTGATTGAGTTAAGGCTACTGTTCCCAAAAAGACAAACGAGACCTGGAAACAACATAATTCAAATACCCATCAGATCGCAGTAATCCTAACATACCGACTTGTACAATGCCCGTCGTTCGGATACACTCGGAATCATGCTTGCGCAGCATAAGGCTGAAAAGGGAAGAGCCAGCCCCACATGGACCTTCTCCTTTGACTCGGCATCCGGTGCGTTCTGCCACGCCCACATGGCCTGCGTCACCTTGTGGTGGGCACAAAAAGGTGTGGGGATTTGGGCTACCCTAACCTCTATAATTAACGCACCTACACAAGCCATATGAATTCACGAGGTCCTTATCATGGGGGTTGGAATTACCTAAACTCACCAAGTACAAATAGCTCCAATCCGAGAAATTCCAGCAACCAAGGTTGGAGTTTATGTGGATTTCGGAAACTACCATGCTATTCACAATGTGCTCCCAAAAGTAGTAGCTGACCATAGGCTTCTACTATCACCAAATTCCAAACCCGAAGCATCTCTACATGCTACATTAGCCATAGTGCCATAGTCTAAACTCCTTACAAGGGTTATATAGGGGACTACTATAATAAGGGGATACTAGGAGTTTAGATTCTGGCTCATATCATGTGCCCGTGTGCGGCAGTACTCGGCGGGAGGGACGAAGACTTTCCCAGCATCGGCCAGTAGGGAAGCACAAGAGACTGTCATGTTTCCGCAAGCCTTACCCGTTGCTACAGCTGCCCAAGTCGCATGCGTTGAGGCCTTACTCAGATAATTTGTGAACGCGTTCGCAGAACACTGTTGGCATGACGAACAAGCTTATCTTGCAGGGTGAAGCCGCGCCCCACAACCTGGAACTGCAAACACCTCGAACCGGAATCCTAGACTCACACGGTCCCGCACTCAATAAAAACATGTACAGTACCCCTTAAGTAGATAGAATATGCGGTATATGGGGATCTTAGTATAATATACCCAACGCCATCTTCTATGCACTTAAGGGGTACTACAACCCAACAAATCGTAAAACCCTCAAACGCAACCTCAACCTGGACTGGGTTGCCATTCCCAAAGCTGTGTGGAATTACATTGTTGGGAAATCCCATAATTATTGTGCACAATCCGTATTGCGGTAAGTGAATGAAAGATCCTCGAGGCCCTGTATAACTGCATTTGCCATGTCACATTCCATATGGTTCTCGATAGCTGCAACCCAATACAACCTTATCTACCCCTTAACTATATACCCCAAGTAACCTCAGTAAAGGAAATCAAACGTGGTGATTTAAGCAAAGTTCCTAAATGAGAACTTCCCAACATAGGCGGACCCCGATATAGACCCCAAAATACTATAGTCCTTATTAAGAGACCCCCATACCCAAAACAGCAAACTCTAACCCCCCAAATAATAACCCACATCAGGCCAAGCCGCATACACATCGCGAGCATCCACGGCGCCCTGCGCAGAGTCAGACTGGCTGGCGGAGAGGGCTCCTGCAATGAGAAAGCAGTTCACGTCGTATAGTAGCTTAGGGCTTGGGGTTTGAGGTTTAAGGTTTAGGGCATAATAGTAGTAATGCGTAGTAGTTATAGTAGCTTAGGGCTTGGGGTTTAAGGCATAGGGTTTGCGGTATCAAAATAAGAACTAGTTGTATAGTAGCTAAGGGCTGAGGGCTTAGATATATTACCCAGAAACTTAATGGACATGCGTTCTTTATTAGGGATCATACTAAACTACAGGAGGAACCTCTGCTGTTTATAAGAGTTTCTGAATAACGCTAGTCATTGACAATAATTAGCCCCCATGAACCCCAAGCCAGAACCTCAAAGCCTAAACCCCTAAACCCTAAACCCCTAAACAGCCAGCAGCCTGACAACTCAACGTCGCCAATTTTCTCATCCACGAAGGACTTGTCGCCGAAGCCTGGGGCTAATCAGTAGCGCTTTGTTTTGGTGGTTTAGGGTTTAGGGTTTTGGTGTTTGAACCCAGTAAAATTACAGTTAACCACTGAAAAAGTACTGTACCCAAAACGAGGATACATATGTAAACTTACTCACTATATTGGGTACCATCGTATCCCCACGTGAAACACAACTGTATGGGTGTGGGGTGTAGTCAGCTGGACATGGGTTCCCATCTAGGAGCTTACGGACCTTTGAAGAGGGATGAACGCTGTTGGGAATTGCAATTCCTGTTCCTGTTCTCCTTCGTATTCACCTTATATATCACGCCAACATATTGAAGGGTGACCTAGTGATTTCTTGGCCAGGTGGTTGTAGCACATGCCCACCATACGTTAAGCACGCTGAGCCCTGAACCCAAAACCCTCAATCAACCCCTCCCTGCCATCCGAACCCTGCAATCTACGAATGGTAGTTTCCCAAAAGTAGGGGTACCCTTTTCTGGGTCCCCATAATGAGGGTTATAATGTTTTGGAATGTATTTTGGGGGCCCCTCATTTGGGGAAACTACCAAATGTTCAAACATGGCAACATGCGGGAAAATGACTTTCGCTGTCACGATAAACCGTGTGACCATAGCGCTACTTAATAGTGAGAGCCTTGAGACCACAAATTCAACTGTTGAACTCCGACCGCGGACCGATAAGCCTTCAAAATCACCCTGGGTATGCATCATGGACGGAACAGCAGCATAAGAAATGCGCTAAGAACAACATAGCTTAATGAGCGATTCGAGTACGAATGCTATCGTTAAAAAACGATGTCTTGAAACTTCTTACCTACGTATACTTGCAAGCCATGGCAAGAAGCTGCACACGTGGCTCTTGTTGGTCAACTTCTTCACCTGCGTATTTCTTGGGGTGCTGAATGTAGGACCAGGGCTTGGAGGCTCAGGAAGACGGAGCTATCGTTACTAAGCGAGGTTTCCAGAAGGACCACGTAAACAAATGTATGTCAACGTAGGTACAAGCACTACTTGTATAGTTGGATCTTTGGAATTTGAGAGTCCTGCCAATGGAGGCCGCACCCCATCTTCATGAGTCGCTTCATGCAGGGTCCATGCTGTCTAGCAGCTTGCCAATGCAATGGCGGGTCAAATTCAAGAGCCTTCGATTCTTGACAACAGCAAACTAAAACTGATCCAGCAACTTCCAATTGTGGGCTCCAAGGCAGTCGCAAAGGTGACAGGTTGCCTTTGCGATTTGGGTCGAGAAGGTCTCGGAGGAAAACTTGCCGAGATCGTCGTCCTGGCTCATACAAGCGTCTTGTGTATAAACGCTCAGGGGATATATTGGAAGGAACTACATACGCCGATAGGGGTAGTTTGAGAAACTCCCATATCTTGCCCGTCCCCAAAAAACATTCTCATGAATCTTCCTACTGTGCCCCTCGCAAACCTCTCGAGAGTTTGCATGATAGCGGTAACAAATTCTGTGCAAACCAGTATTCAAAGCTTGCATTGATTCCCCAAGGCCCAGTGCATCAAACGCGCAAAGGCCGTCCTCCATCCAGTTCACGGAGAAAAGGTCTCCCAAGCCTCAGCCGATGCGTGAACTCTTCGGGTGTCCATGGAAGGCAGGAAGTCCAACCTCTAGGTATTGGGTTTAGGGTCTGAGTGCTGGCACCTGGCAGGAGATGGGAGCATCCTGCAATGATGTGAGCGATTGCCCATATAGCCACGGGCCTGACGACCTACCGAACTTTGGTGATAAGGGTTTTGAGTCAGGACTTCGAGAGCCGTAATTACTGTTGTGAAGTTGACCGTTTTGTAGTTGGAAGCTCTATCAGTCACAAGTAGGTTTCCGTGTAGACTCCCAGAACAAGTGCGGGACCTCCAACAGGCACCCATGACTCCATGACACCCTAGGCCCGAAAACGGGGAAGCCAGGTAGGCGTTCGAGGAAAACAAGCATTCCTCTCCGTTGCTGTCTGAATGGCTACGAGGGAGCTGTACGTATAAAGTAGACAAAGCTATGATTTGTCCTTGCGAGGGGGTTTTCTACCCAAAGGGGGCTGATTTGCTGGTTGGCAGGGTCGAAGTGCAGCAGGCAATCTCTGCAATCAGCTTTGCAAATGCCTGTCAACATGCCCTCTACTTGCTGACCGCTGCTGACCCGCTGAAGCATGACATAGCTCCAAGCGCCTGTTACATGAAAGAGTCAAGCTCTGATGCTACAAGCGATGTAGCAACCAGTCTCAAAAGGCATGGCCGCAATGAAGCTGCTCAGAAGCTTCAACTCTTAAGCATATGGCTTGACGTAAGACGAGACCCCAGCGACACATGAGGATCATAGGGTCGCGCAACGAACCCCACCAAGAATTGCAAAGGGCCTGTTTTCAGAACTCCCATGCAAGCGAGCAGCAGGAGCCCACGTTCTTGCCCTTCACAACGGCCGCATCGCCTTGCAAAAACGAGTCAGGTTTTGCGGATGGTGCTACCCTCATGGAAAGACCGTATCTTAGGATCCCTTTGAAAGTAAACTAAATAAAGTGTTGCAAATAATAGTGTGGGTATGGGTTGTCCTTCCACGAGGCTTGGGGCGTCAGACAACCAAGTACCACGTGCCAAATAAACTATACTTCCCCAAGCCCCCTGCATAACAACTTCAAACGCCAACATCTTGATCCACTACCCAAAAAATTAGTATGTACCTGGACACTTAGGGTAGACAGGCTCAAGACCCGCGAATGGTGGTTGGTATACCGTGTACTCATACGGGCCCCTGAACCCCCCTTCAATTGAGGGCCCTTATTAGGAGCAATACTTTTCAACCTACGTCTACTCCAGCCGGACGAGAACGCCATCCCTTTGGTTCATCGAGGTGAGGCTGGAGGCAATCTCAACGGTTTAGGCGTCAGGTTTATGGTTCTGAATTGAAAGTTCATAGTTGAAGGCTGTGGGTCGTCATCTTATTAGAAGGCAAGCACTGCATGAGAAGGATACCATGGCGCTTATTGAGGGGTTTGATTTTGGTATCCTGTGGCGCGCGGCAAACACAATTGGTTCTCCATGGCGTTAGCATTAACAACGAAAATTCGAAAACTGATTGTGTCTTTGTCTTTTAGGCGTAACCCCACGCTTTCCGTCGCATTACTCCCTATGGCACCGGCATCCAACATAGGGTAGGGGTGCATTTTTTGGATACGAATTGTCAAGGGCCAATACTTCCCGAATCACTTTCCAAAGATTCCGGCTATGGAACACCAGGAAAGAACTGAATCAAAGGGTTCGTGATTATCCTAAGGCCGAACTGAAGCCGCGTTGCCGCAGTAGGTTCCCCACGAGGACTCCTGTGGTTCGAGGAACATGGTTTATGCTTTCGAGTTGACGGGTTGGAGTCGGTTCCAACGAACGTTTTGTGGCAGCACGGACAGTGGTGTAGCGCAGCTGGGTGCACACCACCGGTTCAAAGGTGGCAGGATCGCTTGTCTGTTTGAGTCCTGGGGCTGCATGTTTAGGGTTTAAGGGAACGTTTTCTGAGCCGTTGGCAAAGCTGCCCAAAGGTCGACAAAGCCGGCACTTCTACCTTTTCTCTGCTCAAAGAGCACTTTTCAAAGGCGGGCCAACGTCTTACTGGGGGTAGGTAGGTACTACGGGCATGTATCATATAAGGGCTATGTAAGGGCTATTTCCCGTGATATTCCCTACTAACCACCAGCAAGCAAGGTAGTTTGCACAAAAAGGGGACCCCAGTTTTAGACCCCCCCCCTCCCCACAAGTATCCTTACTATGAGGACCCTCAACAAAGGTAGCCCTAGGCTATGTCAAGCCAAGTAGGTAACTAACATCTTCCGGGCTTCCAGGCCGCGATTGTGTGGTTTTTTTTTCCGCAGCCATCCCCAGGAAACCCGTTCTATTTGAGCCACAAAAGGACGTAGAATAATTGTCATTTTGGGTATAGTTGGGTTTTGCGGCCATCATTTTATCTACTTCTGGGATCCAGGTAAAACTTTGAAACAATCCCAGGACAAACTTTCTATGCCTCCGCCCCTTACTCAGCTGTTTGCACGTGCTGGACCCAAGTCTCTCCTTCCCGTTTGAAGCCGTCACAGCCAGGATCTTGCTGTCCTGAAAATCATATTGGCTCAAGTGCTGGGGTCGGGAAGCATGTCAGTTTAAGTCGAGATGCCAGATCAACACCTCATAACGAGAAAGCAAAATCATTCAGGCCATCTGCGCACGGCGCACACAAAGGCTAGGCATACTTGGCCGCGGTCTAATGGCTGACAATGCCTCTATGCAACCATCGAAATGGGAGGAGCCTACCTCTGTAACAATGTCCAAATCAAAGAACTACCAGAGTTTGGCGGCACAAATGTCCGCTTTGTGCTGTTTTGACTCCCGTCATTCATGTTGCAATTACGCAAGGGCGACGCACCCCTCCGTTGAGGCGCACTGGGCCTAACTTGCACCATAACATGGACCGTTTCCAAAACATGCGGGCAAACTCAAAACAATATGTCACCCTGAAGGAAGCTTGGCATGGCAAGCCCAACTACAAACTTCCCCAAAACCGTACCCTCCTCCAAACTAAGCAGAGATTGGTCGAAAGTACATAAAACCCCATGTGACATGTGATAACTACAAACTGGAGCTGCCGGAAAACAGTTTAGTGTTTGGCGACTGATGCGCAATTCCGAACTTTATGAGTACATGAACTTCGAAAACCGAAACATAGAACAACAACAGCCTATCTTCTGTCGAACTGTGGGTCAGACCAAAGCTTACTCAGTCAAGTCGTACAAGCACCCAAAAAAACAACTCGTATGGTTAGAACATCGAGGAACTGTAGAGTAGGCTTGCCAAAAACAAGCTGTACGGCCAGCCCAATGACCAAAACATGCTGTCGCCCCTGTTGTGAATTCGAATCGTATGTCAACAGCTGTCAGCCTGGACTGGTGTTTGCGCGCAAGGAGAAACACCCGGCCTTCTTGAGCTTGGGGAACATGGAACCACTCTCGCATGCTTCCTCAGAAGGTTCCGTTGGGGCCTTAATGCTGCCCTCCGACATAAACCCCAGAAATCACACCAAAGGGGCTTCTGAAACTTGACTACAACCTGTGACGGTCTCAGCTTGGCTGATGCCTAGGGGAGGCAAACAATACGTAACTGAAACCTTGGTATTATAAAGGTCTTTTACTACAAGTTCAGAGACAAAAACCAAAAGATCGGGAGGCTGAAGTAGAAAACAAAAGGGTATTGTTTAGGTGGCACCAATAAAACGGTTGTTACAAGTAAAGCCCACACCCTAAGCCCTGAACCCTAAACCTAAACGCTGCATTTCAAAAAACAACCCCCAAAGCCATGTTCTACGTTGTTTGGGTTCGAGGGCACTTTCTCTGGGTCATGAGGCACCTTCCTCAAAATGGAACAGCATTTGGGGCACAGAAACAGAACGGTGACAAAAAAAGTGCTCTGAAGTCCGAACATCCGGACTGTTCAAGGATTACTCCGAGAACCTCCCCCAAATACTTGGGAGTTAGATGAAGGACCGGGATGTTAGGACGGCCTGCGAGCAAGGTATGACATCGATGTGCTTCCTTACAAGTACAGCTCCAGGATAAAGAATGAAGAATAAAGCTTCGGTTAAATGTAGTGTCATGGCTATTCATGTAGACCCCTAATTAACAAGCCCCCTGCCCTCCATGGGGATTGTACTAGGGATCATAATATACAGTTCCTTAAATGGAGGGGGTCCATTAATCAGAGGTCTACACTCGTGTTGAGGCTTGAACGTTAAAATGTACGTAGCGGACTTTCGATAACGCGGAGCTGGAGTCCGTTGCATGGGAACAACCGGTATAGGAACAGGGTTGTATACATCTATAGCACAATATAATATAATGTTGTGGCATCCCTATGTCTTCGGATGATCTCCAAGATACAAAATGCACAAAACCGTCATGTGTGCAATCCGCAGCACCCGAACAACCGCTCTCTTTTTTATTTGCATGCTGAACTACAATGGCTTCCCATAGTTTGTCAGCACTAACCGATTTGTACAAGCGTAGGTACACCTGAAGAACTCACCGACCCATCGGTGATGAAAACCTTTGCAACAGGTGCGCCATGTAGAAGACCATCTGCTTGAACATGTTCTTGCTCTGCATGGTCTTCAGGGTCTTGGTCAGCTCCTGTGTGTTCACACCGTTTATAAGCCCCAAATCTCAAAACCTACGCCCTTAATCGCATGAGGTGCAAGTCTTCACGGCTACATGGAGCGGGTTGCAATTCCAAAGATTGAGGGCTTCGGGGGTAAGCGTCGGGTTCGACTTGAGGGCTTTCATGTTCAGTGTCTTCTTCAAAATTCTTCATAAAGTAATGGCAGTCGGGAGCGTGCTAAACCGGAGCTCGCTAATGTCCTTGGGCACTCTGCGAAACCCACTAATTACTGCTCCTACTCTATCTTCTGAAGCCTGCCGTTGTTGTGGGACCGAACTAGACCTTTGCTTCTGCTTGCTGAAAGCAGTGTATGATAAAACTTGTTTCCACTGACCCTGAAGGTTTCATCCAAGAGGTTGAGATGACATGGCCGGAGTTTAAAGCATCTCATCAGGAGCTGGTGGAGAGCGACAGGAGCCCTGCGCTGTAGACCAGCTTTCTCGAGAGCGGTCTTCTTAGTTGGCGTTTGGAGCCCTTAGAACATTGTTAGTATATAGGGTTGCTATGAAACGAATGAGGGGAAATATAAATATCCCAAATGCCTAACCCAGTCTCGGGACTCATCCGCACAACCCAATTCTGCATTTTGATGACCTACGTAGTACAAGGACCCCCAGCATTTGATGGGGTTCCCCTATACGGATACCATTTTGGGGGTTCCCATAATGAGGCTTATAGTATTTTGGGGTCTATCTTGGGGCCCCCTTGTTGACCTCAAAGCCAACAAGAAAGGGGCGCCTGATTTTGCAAATCCCCATCCTAAACCACGCTATGGCCATACGTGTCCCTGCATGATGTCCTAAAGCATCCTCGGACAGGACTAGTAACCCTGGAAACCCAAACAGAGTCTAGACCATGAACTGCAAATAGCAAAAAAAGAGGCCACAACAGTCAGGAAAATGTATCATACGACGTATCACCTCGCCATTTCCCGTATGAGCCGACAAATCCCTGTGCGAACAACGCCGGTTGCCTTCACCGTGAGAACCGGGCCGTTGGGAAACGCGATAATGCCAGGGCCTCAATTGCGTGTAACCCTTTGATAGTTTTGAGCGGTGCAACACGAAATAGGAGCCACTAGTAGAATCTTGACCTTAATCTCAAGCCCTTTGTCCCAAACCCTAAATCCTAAACCCTACACCAGGGTTCTAGAATTTTCTAGAGCTTATAAGTCAAAATGAGCTATGGTCTATACTCCTAGTATCCCCCTTAGTAACCACGAAAATACTTTCCCTTTGTTCCCCTATATAATCCTTCTTTGAAGAGTTTAGACCCTATAAACCCTAAACCCTAGATAAAGGGGATTATATAAGCCCCTATATAACCCCCTTTCAAGACTTTATACTATAGCTCACATGGAACTACCCAAGGATAGCTCATAAGTCAAAATGCGTGATGTCCGGTCGGTGGGAAGTGGTTTGGAAGAGCCGGGTTGACGGGCCAAAGGCTGAACAGGTTAGGGATTGGGGTTTAGGGATTAGGGCTTGGAGTTTAGGGGATTAGGGATTGGGGAGTTTAGGGTTTAGGGGTTGAGGGTTAGGGTTTAGGGTTTTGAGTGAAAAGTTTTGTGCGAATCTGTGCCTGCCAGGAGTGCAGGCAACATTCAGATTCAACTCAGGGCCAAAACGGGGACCGTGCACAAAACAACTGGCCAAAGAAACGGGGCCCCAAAATGGAAGTGACAAGATAGGAGGGAACGGGGAACGACACCTGAAGCAACAATATCGTTGGAGGCTTACTTACAGGATGTGATGCTGATGTTCGTAACTACCTAGTTCCATAGGCAAGTGTAGCGCCTAGTGGGCTCCAGCTTACAGTGAGGGTAAAGAGCTCGGGGATGTTTGCTTACTCATTCACTACGGAGTAGGGTGTAGGGTTCAGGGATAGGTTTAGAGAGTATGGTTTAATTTGATTTCTTTGATTTCCCTCCACAGCCCTCAGGAAGAAACCTTGGCTGAGATATGGGCGAAGTGAAGTCATTCATGCAAGGCGAATACTGCCCCTCGAGCCAACCATGATATATCGTTTAAGCTGCGTGGGTGGTGCTCGCTCACCCCCACCGGCACATGCCACAAGAGAAAACACAAAACCACGAAAAAAAAAAAAAATCATCACTCTGCCGACAACATGTGCCCGCAGTAAGAAGCCCGAGAGTCATCATGAGCACATCTGGAACCGCATCATTCTTCCCTACAAAACTTTACGATGCTAGAATCTTAGGAAAGCCAACGGCTCCATTGTAGTTCCTGTCTGCTTACCCTTACCCAAAACACTCAATCCCAAAACGAACTACGTATGCGTTCCTGTGTAACACTGCCTGACTTCTGAAACTCCAATGATGTTCCCGAGCCTCCATGGTCCACAAAGTTGACGAAGACGGTGTCGCTGGGTCCGCTCTTGAGAACCTGTGGAGTTATTGCGTTTCGTGCGGTACTTCCTGTGCAAGCCAGACTATTTCGGGTTATATGTTGTGCGGAATGCTTGGGCCTTTCTAAGCTTGTGCCTGCAGTTTTAGAGGGTCAGGCTTCAGCTTTGGGGAGTTAGTTGTTCATGTTGCCAGACGACGTGGGTTTACATTGAGAGCGATCCGCTGACGAAACAAGCAGCTACGAACAAAACAAATCGGTTAGAAAACCATTGCAGTTGAACAACTCTACTACCACTGCTACATGCTGTGGTAAGGCCCTTCCCTGGTTGGGGGGAGCAGCGTAAAAAAAAAACATCTTCTGGAATGAAACTCGCGGGAGGGAACGGTTGCATAAACTGACTCAAGTTGGGTACCGGCAGGCAACCCGCCCGCAACAAAAGGACTCAACGGCTTTGAGTTCAGGGTCGTTTGGACCAACAAGGCGCGTCAGCAGCTGTCCGAACAAAACAAACACAGGTGTCCCACCAGAAGCCCATGAATACTGCGCGGAAAGAGTATCCAGAACTTGCCTTTTTTTTGTGCCCTGCTCCACCCTGGTTGGATGTCCATGGGTCTGTATTTCATTCCCTACTTACTGTGGCCTCAACCCACCTACAACCACGTTAGGAGAAAAAGGGGCCGTACCACCGAGTTATACATGTTTAGCTATACGTTGGTTCTGACAAACAATGGACCGTGGACCTCTAAATGCATATTGAGCCCTCCCGGTGGTCATAATAGTAGGAACATAGAAACAAAGGGTAGTGGGATCATCTAAGTATACTCAGGCACAGATACATCCTCGACGCGCCCGTAATTCCCCCAAACCACCCCAAGAATGAACCAAAAGGCCATCATTCTGCGTAATTTTGGGGTTCAGGTACACACATACATGCCCTGAAGCGCGCCTTGCCCTTGGCACTATGGCTGTTGCCCGTGAGGACATCCATGAACAGCTTGCCAGTCACAATCTTGGGTTCCCAGTTGAGAAGTTGAGGGCTTGGTGGTGTCTAAGGTTTACCCGGGCCCCAACAGTAGATCAATAGCACAAAATCCCTAAAACAGCCCAAAAGCCGATACAACCCAGTATAGTAGTTTCCATTTTCTTTCCCATTATCCTATGTAACCCCAATATAACCCCAATCTAAGACTTATGTATTCCCTAGTGTCCATTTCATGTTCCACGTTGTTTTCCATTTGATTCCCATTATTGGGTGATTATAATGATAGCCCCGATGTTGCCCCAATGGGACATACCCTAAACCCTAAACTCTAAACTCTGAATACCTATTCTCTCTATATAAATCCTATATGAACCCCATATAACCCCTATATTACTCCTACATAACCCCAATACTACCCCAATGGGATGGATATACTTTTGGGGTTCAGCTTGTAAGATCATATCCCTTATATAAAATACTTTACCCAAAAGGATGATATAATCTTACTCTATATTTGGTTACCACAGTATCCCCAAATAAAATACTACACAAACAACCTCTATATAACCCCAGTTTCCATTTCATTTTCCATTTTCTTTTCCATTTGATTCTCCATTATAGGGCCCTAAGCCCCAGATTATTGGGTACCATAGTATCCCCAAACAAAATACTACTCAGGTAGGGTTTCGGGTTCATGCTTGACCTTCAGGCTCCCATGTTTTGGGCTGCGGGTTCCCGGCTCAGCTTTCAGGTTTGATTAAGGTTTGGGGATTGGTGTTTATTCCGTTCTTGGTGTTGATTTTTTTCTGTTTTTGGTTTTAGGCTTTATTCCGTTTTTGGTTTTAGGGCTTATTCCGTTTTTGGTGCTAGGGTTTATTCAGTTTTTGGTTTCAGGCTATAAAGGCTTCAATTTAAGAGTTAAGGTGTCATGCCATGATATCTAGAGATGGTGAGAAAACGTCTCAGATTTTAAATCACCGCTCAAGTTTCGGGCATGCAACCAATCACGCAGGTCCTTTGGGTACGTGGGCAGCTTGAAGCGTTTCAAGCGATTCCAAGTTGTGCAAAACATGGAAGGCTCTGAAATTCAAGGTTCCTGTCCCCTGTGTAATACGGCCCAGATAATATTAGCATACCGGCAAAACCCTTCTTTCGATATCCCCTGTATACCTTCTGAAAACACATTTACTTGGCCAATAACATCAACGAAGCATGGTGACCAAAAAACAAGCTCAACCCACTCTCCCGGTGGCTTGACATTGGCTGTTCAGGGGCCATCGGGGTCACACTTCAGAAACACACCTTGGGCGTCTTGCACGTACGATCAATCACTGAGCAGATTACGGCAATGTTTTAAAAGCCTCAACTTGGCATTGACTAGCAGCTGAACCTTACGGATCCAAGTATACAAATAACACCTACATGGGGCCCTGAAATCTATGAATGTTACCTACAGTGGGCTATTTGGATCCTTGGCGGCAGGCATGGATCGACCTCCAAATGCAAATGATGAGTGCTTTTGGCACTGCGGCTCGCTATTGGATTTCGCAATCTAAGGTCTGGATACATGTTAATCTACGCTTCTTTTTACACGGGGCAAAGGGTAGCCAGCAGCTTTAGGCAAAATCCCAGAAACACAGTCAATAGGCGACATACTGCAGTGTTCGCGCACTACCATTTCCATGCGCATGTTCTGCTAGCAAACCTACAACAAACACAGCCAAACGCGCGCACCGCACACCTGTAAATTGGCTACAGTGCCCAATCAATCATTGCAACACCCTGTTCAAAATCCGCCCTTTCTTTGACTGATCTACAGCGTGGCTAGGTGACTGCATGGCAAAAGCTTTACCATGTATCTACAGACACTGGACGGCTCAATCATAATGCTCTAACCTGCGGGCGCTCTACCCAGGCTCTACGAGTGCAGCGCGCTTTGCAGCACAAGGCGCGTCTCCAGAGTAGTCGATTTTGCATCCCTTGTACACCTCTGGCAGGACTCCACATTAGGGATTACCAATTTGCCGGCTGTGGGGTGAATTTGAGATCAAAGGGCTCAACCCTCCAAAGCAAAAGGCAAGGAAGTGATTCCAGACAAATATGAATGCCTAGACCCCCCAAGTACCCTCTATAGACCCTAGGTATCCCCGAAAAGAAGCTACATAGACCCTATCTTAGGGTACTTGGGAGGTCTAGGGTGGAATAAAACCACCTAAAGAGGCTAGGACAGAAAGGCTCCTTGAATGCGTGAGGACACCAAAATACTGCATCCCTCGCCATCTGAGCAACGACTTAAGGTGGCTGGAAACAAATTGGCTCCATTTCTTGCAGCTTGCATAAAAACTTGTCATTAGTTAAACGTGTAACTGAAATCGCTAACCATGCAAATAAACGCAACTTATACATGTTCACCCAAAACATCTCAAAAGATTGTTGATGATGCGTCACGGTATGGAGTCACAGACAAAATTGCCAAGCGCGGGGCGCGGGATGCGGAACAAAAACTAAATAACCGAAATGCGCGTCGCACGTCACATGCCAAAAAAAAACTTCACTCTGGGCTGTATTGCCTAAAGCCCGAAGACAGTGAACACAACTGCTATTCGGCGAAGAATGCCCAACGAGCTCATATCCATTGGCAGCAGCGGCCGTCACCCTTGTCCATTCAAACTGCCAGCCTCTATACACCCAAAAAATCTCAAACCTCCATTCCGAGATGATCTAAACTCTCCGGTATCTTACTCTGCGGTATCTTCTGCAAGCCGTAAAACCAGACAGGTTGAAACCCACAGGTGGTGACCTTTACCCAATGGTCTCCCAATAGTGACCGCAAGGGATGACTATTTATGAAGTTAAAGCCCCGGGCATTTTTATACAGTTCACGCGGTAGGGGAATTTCAACGATGACACTACCGCTGCGGTCCCAAGCCTTAACCCTATGGTCCCTATGGAACCCTATGGTCCAAACATCTTAAATTCCAAACCATTCCGAGCCTAAACCGCCCAGCCCAACCCTGCGGTCCCAGGCGCATCAGGGGAATCATTGCCCGGCTTGTTGAACAACTGGCCGGGGAAGGGGTTCTCAGAGCTCTTCGCCACATCGTCCTGCTCGGCTCCGAAGGAATATCCCTGGAAATCCTATGCATAGTGGCCCGCTATGCCTGATATCCTGCAAATTGCCTCCCGCCAGAAAGCCATCATGGGACATTGGACTTCTACGGTACGATTTCCCTCAAACGGCTCCGTGAGTGTGGCAAAATTGGGGAGCATGGGCCTATATTCAGTACAATATTTGCTTGTTAGTATGGAAACTAAGCGCGGCCACTTTGATTTGTGAACCCATCTTTTGCGATCCGATTTTGTAATTGCAGGGTTTCGGCGGGAAGGCTTTGGGCTTTAAGCTATAACTTGGGTACTTAGCAGGGAACACCAACAAAATAGAAACTTTGGAACCTGGGGCCTTGCACTTCTTCTACATGATGTCAACCTCTAGTGAACAAGGCAACCTCAAAAACTCCCAATAATTTTGTTAAGGATTCCGGTGTGTAGAAGCATAACCTTAAGGTAGAATCGGGGTAGAAACCCATCTGAACGTAGCACTTCTACTCTTTGAGTCCGCATTTGATGCGAGAAAATCCTACGCCTTTCTTGGCAAACCTAAATTAGCGCAAGGGCACTACAATAACAATGGACCCTGAGAAATTATTTACCGCATGGACAAGAACAACGGACTCTGGTCTGCAAAACAACTTGACAGCATGATGTCCTGCATCATGAGAATGATGTTGTCTGCTGGCACACCGCTCTTCCTAAGCTGCTTTCCGGAGCTGCATTGCTCCCGCGTAACAATCACACAGATGCTTGTGGATCTCAACGTGTTGAAAAACGTAGCAAAAGATTCTTACCGAATCACTTTGGCGCATAACATGTGCGACGTGGCGTATGGCAAAAAAAAAAGTTGTCAACCGAACAGTGAACGGCGGTACTGGCAAAACTGCGATGCTAGCGACCATACTGTTTGTAATAGACAAATAATTTTGCATGACTCCGAGTACCTTACTGGTTGGGAATTCTAGTGCTGTTGTATACTACACGGCAGTCACATGCCCAAAGCTGCCCAGATTCAGCATCAACTGATACGCGTGGCAGGCATCAGCTTGGTGGCGGTAATTCATGAAGCCTCCACGCTGTTACATTCATAAGGATATGGATTTGGGGCTTCGGGCCACTGCTCAAATTCAGGGTTGTGTTTTGGGCAGGATAACATTCAGATCTAGAGACCTTTGCGTGTGATTTCTTCTAGAGAACGGTAAACTTGTCGTTTGGACACATATCCAAATCGAGTTTACACCCACGCAAGGCCAAGCCGATTTGAGAGCCGGTGGTGCGCCATCAGAAACAACGATGGTCAACAAAATGGAAACGCGCACTCAGAACTAGAAACAAATGCTTCATGTACGCATTAAGTTGGTACTTGCGATGTTGGCAATCGTACTTGTTCTGCACAGTTGTATTGTGTACATGCGCCCTTGGAGAGAGGGCGTTAAATTTCGTCAACGGGTTTTAGGACCCTTTCTCACATGATTCCCCATTTGTTGTTTTAGATTGCTCCTAAAAAGGACGCAGTACAAATCAATCATCTTCATACCTTGTTGGGAAACACTGAAAAATCTTTTTCGAGATGACATTAAAAGGAAAAGGATTAGAAAGTAAACAAACGAAAAGTGAATTTATGCAGCTCCAATCCATCAGCCTGATTTTTCAATGTCATTTTCTCGTTGTTCTGTTTCATGTCCACTGGAAGAAAACGAGCTAACACAACAAATAAGATGATAAATGAAAGAAAAACGGTAAAAGGTGGCCAGGGCTTGAACCTACTCTTATCGCGTTGTCGTTGCGTTACTTTGTTTGCTCTTGGCCATCATCTCCTTAACTACCTTAAATGAAAAACCAGAAATACCATAAATAAACGGATGAAAACGAAGCTCCTTTTCTTTGCACCCTTGGGCAACCGTGTCTGACAAGAACACTTCCCGAGAAGAAAACGAAGAGAAAGGACGAGGAAAGCAAAACACCAAATGCCAGCACGTAGGGAGAGAACAAATTCTTGATTCGCGGTTTTTTGCTGAAATACATTGTTTTTGACTATGATTGTTGTCCAAAGTGGATTGCAATTTTTGTTCGTTGATAATTTCCTTTCCTCATTTCTCCTCAATGAGATGGGAACGAAGACATAACATGATGGTGTTCTTCTGCTTGACCGATGGGATAAAAGAACGCCATTGCATCACGGACAAATAGCTTCGGCCCAACCCTTTTGCTTTTGCGTTTGATAGATGAGATACACGAACACCGTTTTATCATCTGCCCAACATCACTTCCGCGACAAAATGGTGGTCTTTTGCTTGGTCATGGATTTTGTCACGGAGGAAAGTGGCTCTTCCCACAACTGTTCAATAACAAGCTGGCCCTTTTTGTTTGATTTTCGGGAGGAAATGCGCAAATTGATTTCGAGGAAAGCTTTTCTTGTCCGACACTTTGTCCGAGACAAAATGGCGTTATTTTGATTTTTCGGTGGGATAAACACGTGCCAGTTTGTTGTGAAGAAACGGGCTCGGCCCCCAATGCTTCCATAACAAAATGACAGTTGTCAGTTTTATCGTTGCTCAAGGAAAACGGCTATTTTGTTGCGAGCCCGTGCGATGCCGAACCCCACATTATTTTCTCCTGCAGTGCCAAACTGCAATATTCTTGCAGTGCATTTGCAATGCTGCAAGGAAAACAATTTGGGGGGGAAGGGAAACATTACAGTTCTTGCGTAATAACGGTTTTAATGTGGGGATGCTCGAAACAGTTTTCGCCTTTCAAACGGTTAAAACGTGTTAAAAACGCATTTTTTTTAATCGAGTCAAGCGCTTCAAATGCCGAACCTCGAACAAACAATTACGCGCACTCCTGATCAAAAAGCCAGCCACCCGTCAGATATACTACGAGTCTTAAAAGCAGTGAGTTGCACAATTAAGATCTAATACCAACCAAATAGCGACAATGCCCAATTCCGATTACACTCTATTTCAATATTTTGGAAAATTTACATCTGATTAGATCAGTCTACGAAAAAAGAAACGCATAAATCTATTTGGCTTCTTTGTGAGGCATGCGTCTTCCATCCGTCTTCCCTCCTTCCTCTTTTCTTGTCTCTTCCTGCTGTGCATCTTCGTTGCCTCAAGAGGAAAAAGAGGGAAACAAAAAATGGAAGAAACACAAACCAAAGGCGTAGTAAGGAAAAGGGTGATCCCCGCTCTTTCCGTTTTCTGTTTAATACTGGGTTCTTCTTGAAATACACTTAAACAAAGAACACTGATTATCTAGAACAACAAGCCAGAATGCGGTTTTTTCTGTTTCCGTGTATATGGCGTTTTTATGCTTGATCGACGGGATGAAAACTGCCATATTTATAACGGATATGTTTTTGACGCACAACTTTTCTGTACCAAAATGGTTTTCTGTGTGAGGCATGGGATAGAATAACGTCATTGTGTTACGGAATGTTACCGAGATTTGTTTAGGGAGGCCGGGAAATACTGACCCAAACCTATCAATGCAATTCTTCTTGATCAACTTCTGCGGAAGGCCCGCAGAGAATTCAGGTCTTTACATAAGGAGCCTCAAGGGACCCAGGATGGCTAGGGGTACACAGGGATGAAGGGCCCTCAGTGAGGATTATAGTGCGGAAAGCTCCCAAAGCCAAACCTGCCGAACAGCGTCAGGTTTGCAGGATTTAGGTGGAATAGTGTCGCCGCACATCCAACTGGACCCAAACATCTGCGTATTGCAACAGCTTTGGGAAAACACGCCCATATGTTGGGTTCTGAATGTGACTGCTACGGGGTGGGCAATCTTGCTTGTCATTGCCAAGTTGGTGATCTGAACGACTGACATGTGGGGCCGGGCTCCCATTACGTGTGATATTAATTACATATCTGCTCACCACTTGTAGATTTCACATGTAGCTCTTCCCATCCTGCATGCACTGTCTCCGGCCTGTGAACTAAATCCCGAAACGGTAAACGTAAAACCTTGTCTTATGGGCCCAAACCTATGAAAGATAAAACTTCCCAAAAACAGCCTTCACCACCCAACTCACAAATCCTATTTGTTAAACTATCTGACAGTAGGGGTTACCCTCGGAACAAACGCTTCCAACTCTAGAGCCCTTGATCCACGACTGTCAACCCGTAAAACAGCGAGCCCGACAAATTGGGACTTTGTTTTGCACGGATATGTACTAGCAGTATGACTCTCCCAATATATTCATTCAAATCAATTGGGCAGTGCTGGGCACATCCCCAAATACCCAAACCTGCCTGCTGAGCCGGCTGCGATGACAGCATATTTCTCCTGCAGTAAGCTTTTGACATTCAAGCAGATGTAGGGCAGTAAACACGGAACATTTGGGATTAGGCAGCTGAGGAAGTGGGACTTATTGCGTTATGGGCAAAACAGCTGCAATTTCCTCTGGCTTTCGATCTGCATCACACCTGTTGTAGGCTCATATGCCAAAGGGCCACAACTCCAGTATTTGTTGGCGTATCAGGGGTCATTCGGAGCTCTCATGCTACGCAATGTGAGGAGCACATTTGGGATAATGTTCCTGTTGAATTAACTCGTCAAAGTTCCCAATATGACACCCTCACTGCAAGCTTTGCATATTTCAAAAAGTTCCTACAGGGCAACTTTTTTGGGAACCCCCATTTCAACAGTACCCTTTCGAAGAGAACACGAAGACCTGAACTATAGAGTCTATATAGATGATGCTTGGCAGTCTATTGCAAGAAGCGGGACCTTATCGAATCTTTGGGTACATCAAGGTTATCAGCAGGTGTTGAAGGGTCCAATTTGAGGACATTTTTGGCAATGTTTTTGTCATGGGCTCGAGCTCAAATGCTTCATGGACGGAGGTACCAAAATTCCATTGGGGGCTGGGGTGCTTGTTCTATTAGCGCGTCGCGCGCTCATGACGTCAAAGCCATTGTCTCTGGAAACGTGGCTAAAAGTGATGGTTGGGCCATATCCAATACGCATAAATGCTGTGTTGCAACTAGTTACTTCATGAAACGTTACTCATGAGCCCATAAAAACATTTTCAACAAACCCGACAATCTCAACAGTACTGACGGTAAAAAGAACATCAAAATCTTGGAACGAACCACTAGGAGTATGGGCCTTCCGACATCCGCAAACCAGGGTGCAAACGTGATGCCGAATACTGCCGTGCACTAGCTTCAACAAATTCAAGTCTCCAAATTTTTACCCGTGAACTCTTATGCGCGCACTGCTTAAGCCACCATACCCACAACCATAAACAGGTTCAATAATTGGGCGTTGTATGGAAATGGCATCGTCTCATCCCTGCAGTCCAAGCATCCGCCGCTGCCAAGGCTGGCAAAATCGCAACGAGGGCTGCGCGCAAAGCCATGGTGGGAACACCTTGGCGGCAGGATGACCCCCGGAAACCCAAACTGTCGGGCCCCACTTTAGACCCTCCTTACAAATTAATGAGGCGTGTTGCCTGAGTAAGCCCACAAAATCCATGTTTGGGGCTGGGGAATGTGTATAGTATCTGTTGATTCTGTGCGGGATGTTCGTAATTTGGGACATAATGGCCATTTTGGGGTTTCGGGGTCGCATCATATGAAATGGTGGTCATGTGTACTATGGGACGATGTGTGGGGCGTAGCCGGGAAGCGCTTTGGATGATTATGCCGCATAAACGCAATTCACCTTCAAAGGAGGTTAAGAATGTCTCGAAATCCGATGACTTCTCAAGATGGGGTCCTTCACGTGGATTCGTACGGTTTCCTTCAAATTACCAAATACGAATTTCCAAATGAAAATACAAAGCTTTCACATCCAAACCATGGAACTGTGGGTTGCCTGGCGGCAAAAGCTTTCTAGTCGTACAATTTCGACTGGTATGGTGCCCGCTTCTGCTTTTTCGAGACCTTGAAACCAACCAAGCTCAAAAGAACCCCCTGAAAGCGGAAGCCCACGCACATACTTCAAAAACAATTCTCTTCAGCCATGGTAACAAACAAACGTACCTTCGTTGCCACTTGCTTCGGCTTTGCCCACGTAGGACAACCTGAACGACAATGAAACCTGTAGTTTTCAACCCTTAGCATTGAAGCTGGGGCCATAAATAATACTCAATCAAAAGCCCACTCTGAAATTCTGCCTTCGAGACTCGTCGTAAGGAACGATGACGGATCTGTGCTTGGGCCCAACTCAACGGCAAGTACGTGCAAAACATCGTATCTGTTGGCATGCTAGCCAAGCATACATGTCTGTGCTTGGTTTTGCATTTTCGCTTGTGAAAGTAATTAGCTATGCCCTTCCATGCAAGTCTTCAAATTTCCCAACCCATGGCATCCATGGACAAAAGCTGGCTCTTGGGAAGATTCCATCCAAAATTCCATATTCTATCTACGTAAGGGGTGCTATAGGTTTGAAAGCTTAGGTTATAATTGTTTGCTTAACCCTACGGACTTTTACTTCTGCAGCTGCTGCTGCATGGGGTGATCCTGACCCTCGCATGGCAAATGCAGGCTATAAGGTTTAGCGTAAAGAGGTTGCTTAGCCAAAGTTCCCTCCAGACGTCTGGGAGTTGCATGGGTTCCTTTAGGGCTTGAGGTTTAGGGTGACTGAACGTGTTTGGATCTTCGGGCCAGCATCCTTGTGTCGTTTGCAGATTCGAAGAGCCCGGTTTGTCGAACGCCAAAACATGAGACCAGTATCCCAACACCACAAACCG